ATGCTGCATCTGTGCCAAGTAACTTGATGGGATGAGCCTGTTGGTTCAAACACTGCTTTGGCAGAGCTCATGACAGGGGAACACTTGCCTGCACCTGTCACAAGCTATTTTTTGCCAGGTCTAATGACTTTATGATATTAGTCCTTATGGTGAGGGGAGTATCAGCCAGCCTCCCCAAATCCCTTTCCACTCCTGTGGTTTGCACGTCCCTGGCAGGAGGGAAGGGGCTTTGGTTCAGACTGTTACCTGCACAAAACACACACGCCCTGGACTTTTCCACATCAGTTGGCTTCTTCCAACATCAGACAGAATATTACAAGGTTGGTGCAGGTAGAGCAAAAAGTCCAGTTCTTGAATACACAACTAGAAATGAGGTGACAAAAGGGAAAGCAAGAGCTCCGATCCCATCTTCTCTTGTGCTTGGGGATCCCTCTTTGGGACTCATTGGGAACTGGGGAAGGCTGCAGCTGTACTCTGTGGAGTGGAGTCCTCCCACCCACCTTCTCCCACAGCTACTTAAATCTAGTCCCACACCTTTTATCTTCTTAAACCAGCATCTCCCCTACCTTCCCTTTCTCCTGCTTTTGTTCCTAATCTGTATTTTAACACTTGCATTCATATGTAAAGGTAAATAATAGGCCCCTTCCCACTTCCTGGGCTCTCTTGACTTTTAGGCTTGTATCCTATTCTTTTTACTAGTACTTTCCCACCAACTGAGATGCCCTTCATGCTGGTCACAGCCTTTCCAGAAGTGATACAAAGTACTCTGTACAGAGTTTTCCAAAGTATTTTGATTTGTAGAACACCTAACGTTTCCAGTTAAGTTGTGGATACCTCTATAGAAAAACTCCCTCTAAATTGTAAGAAGTATAAACTGTACAACAGTTCTGGTAATTTTGTTGTCTCTGGTATGCTCCCTGCTTATCCTATGACATAAAAATACAGATTGGGTATTTGGGGTGCTGTCTCCAGGCCACCTTTCTCCTTCCCTTTCTTGCCATCCCTCCCCACGTTTTTGCATGTATCTGTTCAGGGGTTTTGGTGCCACAGCAGACAACCAAATGTTAACAAGCATCCTGGCTCTGGTTTAAAACAGTCCTGCCACCTGTGGTTAACTGAATGTAGTAGTTTAGGTCAAATCCATTGTACATCTGGTCTGTGCATACTGTTTGAAATGTGGATACTGCTTCTTTTGTTGGTTTGTTTGTGTTGCTTTTTTGGTTTTTTGTTTTTTTGTTTTTTTTTTTTTTTTTAAATACAGACCAAAGGGTGCTATGTGTTAGCCTTTTATATACTAGAGTTTATAAAAGAGATAACTGAGATACCTGGAGCTCACTAGTTTCCAGGAGGGAGACTAATCCATGATAATTCTTACTATCAGGAGAAAATTACTCACTTGTTATTTTTGAAGTACATAATGGTAATAGATTTCCATTTACGCTCCTAGGTGGTCCAGGGCTTCCTTTTGCTGCCTAACCATCAGTTTTGTTTCAAAGAGGAGAAAAGAAGGAGCAAAAGACTCGATCCATGATAGCTGTAGTAGGGATCAACATGTTGCCCCAGCTGGTGCAGAATGCACACCCAGGAGTGACAATGACAAGAAATTCAGCTCAGTTCAACTGCAGATGAATGCTGTAACTTTCCATGGAAGCTACTGGATTGATTCGCTACCTTTGGCTACAGGTAATTGCTTCGCCTCATTCAATTAGGTGGGGTAACTAGAAGTAGATCATGCAAGGAATAGCAAAACCCATCAGTGCATCCTCTGCATTTGTGGCCTGTTCCTTTAAGAGTGATTATGTTGTGTTTTTTGTTGTTGGTGGTGGTGGTTTTGTTTGTTTTTTTAACTTTTTTTTTTTAGCCCAGGCTGTCACTTGCTTTCTATCCAGCTGATCAGTGTGGCATAGGAAGGAAAAATAAAAGTATACTTTCAGCATGTTAACTGAGTGTCCTGGTTTTGGCTGAGTTCTGCTCATTTTTACAGCACACTATCTAGTACAAGCCTTTATTGGAACTGCAGTGGAAAAGCAGAATGATTTAAGGACTCTCAAATTCACATTTTCTTCCAGCCTGATATAGTGAGGGACTATTAATACACCAGGCAGACCTCTGAAATAGATGCAGCTCAGTAAATGACAAACACATTTTGGTTGGCTCAGAATATATTAAGGCAGTTATCTTGTGCTCTCTCTTAAATACTTTTTTTTTCTTCTACGTAAAGTTGTACTTTCTTGAAAGGTGAAAAGTGGCAAGGTAGCAGACAGTTTCTCTAATAAAGGCTTATAAAGTTTCCACTGATCCATTACTTGAGAAGTGCTATCATGCTGCTATGCTTAATGAAAGATCAGTCAAGTAAATTGTTCCTGGGATTCAACTTAATTACATGCAAAGGGTGGAAGACTAATAAAATATCAGGTGGCTTTAATGAAGTCAGTAAGGTGGCAGTCTTAACCCAAAACCTGCTTGCTTAATAACAGAAAAGACAGTAGATTTGAGCAAGATGTTTTATAAGCAGCGTGTCACTTCTCCACTGCAAGGCAAGAGACACATTGTTTAAGCTGTGTTAGCGAGAAACGTTAAGTTCATTGTCAGTGTTTATCCTCTAAGCCTCCGACTGAAGAGCCAGTAGCTGGAGGAGATTTCTTATTGAAAAATTCTTTTAGTCTGAAACTTGGCATATGATGACTTGGGTGATTTTTCTTAATGCTTGCAAAGCCATTTATCCAAACATGTAATTGAAATCAGGAGATGCCTCAGAATGTGGCTCTGAACTGATACTAAATTTGGAAACATTAAATAAGATGCTTAAAGTTTTAGACCTTTAATGTTGACCCATTTCGTAATCATTTGGATGGTAAGTTTTTAAAATACATGTTTTGGGTTGTTTTGCTGAGAATAACTTGCCTTCCTTGCCAATCCTGCAAATTTCTTTTGTGGTACAGTAAAATTAATATGAGTATTCCATTTGTATTCACAAATACAGCAAACTGGTAGATTGTTCAAGGCACTTTTGCATGCTTCTGTTAAAAAAAAAAAAAAAAGGAAAAAAGAAAGAAAAACATTATAAAAAGCATTTTTTAAAAAATGCATGTTAATATTAACAGTGTCCTGCAGGATTCCTGACCCCATGGGGAGCAGTTTTTGCTTTGTGGGTGCTTTTGGAGGCTAGTTCATGTTTTACAGGGTGACATTGTTTAAGCCGTGCCTGGGCACGAGTTGCAGAACCAGCAGACAAAGGAGGTAACAGCATTTCTCGTACAGAGAGCTACATATGAGGAAGAGTATAGCCAGACAACCTAAAAAAAGGCTAGGCCAAATCTATGCCCAAGAGTGATGAAGGGGGTAAGAAAGCAGGATCACCTGGTGGATTGAGAGGACTGGGGCACAGGGATTTCTGGCCCTCTGCTCCTATTCGGGACACTTCTGTGCTCTAAGTCTATGTGTCCTTTAGGATAAACATTGAGTAGTTGGCAGTTGCCTTAGAACTTCTGTCACGGAAGGTCCTGATGAGGTATCTTGGTTTGCACATCCAGTGTGAGATGCTTGGATCTGGCTGTAAGCACTCCTGATGCCAGAATCTCAGGACCATCTTGTCTCAGTCTGAGCTCCTAAAATTAGGGGCTGTTTTGGATGTGCTGCCCCTTATCTCTGTGTGAGGGAACCTTGCAATCTCAATGTTACTTTCACCCACACAGCGGGATGCCGGAAGGACTGAGTGGCTCTAAATATTGAACAATGGCAAGTCAGCACTATGAGCAATTGTTGTTGTGAGTCAAGGTTGAATCTCTGCCAAAGATGCCTTTTGCAAATCAAATTTAGCACTAATTTATCAATGGATTAGTTCATAACATGATGCAAAGCACTCAGTACATAATGAATCCTTCTGGCTGGAAAGAAAATGCTCATAACAACCTTACGATAAATAAATACTATGTTTAAGTGGACCAAATCAATGTAAGGGTATTGCTGTGTTTCTCCACTGACAGTTTGCTACTTTGTGTACTAGCCACAGCTGGCAGAGAGGGTTTTGTTAATGCTTTGCCCCCCCCCCCCCATTTTGTTACCTTAACAAAACTGTCAACATGTGCTCTTTACTCCTTGCTTGTGCAAGTGTTTCAGTGAATCCTGCGCACAGCCCGGTGATGCCCCGCTGTCCCCGCTGCTCACAGAGCCGTCGCGCCTGCAGCCCCTCGCCGGCAGCTCTGCTCCCTGCCGCTCCCCAGCCAGCATCCACTGGCACAAAACCAACACCCCACCCCCCCGCCCCCCAATATTCCCTTCTGCATGCCACACACTGCTTCTGTCAGGAAGGGCTTTTTCTAGGTCGTTGTTCCCATGATGAAGGTAATCCATCTGCTCTGCTGCGCAGGGATGGTGCTGGGGCAGAGGCCATCTCACTGCTCCTGCTTCCTCCACGGATTCTGGTCTCGGGCCTTGAAACAGTGGCAGTTGGGTTTTTCCCTGCTTTTCCCCAGTGTAGCCCCTGCTTTGTGTGCATCTGCTCCAGGCTGATGCATCTTCAGGCTTGGTGGATTGTTCAGATGTTGTTGGTTTGTTTTGGTTGGTTGTTTTGTTTTGTTTTGTTTTTTTTTTCCATTTGCTGACCCGATTTCAGCAATGCCCCTTGTGCTACTGACAATTCAGCACCGCCACCAGCCAGGGCTTCCCGGGGTTACCCCTGCCTCCTCCCTACCCCAAACCTGCGCCAGGGAGTCCCAGCCGAAAAGCGGTTAAAGCAGGAGCTGGGGGGGGGCTAGGGGGCTCTCGGCTGAGCTGGGGAAGCAGCCGCGGGAGCTGTCGGTGGGCTCTCCCTACGGGCAGGGTTAATTCCGCCCCGCTCCCCGGGACTCGGACGGTGCAGTCGGGCACCCCCGAAACCCGCGGTTGGTGGCAAACCCCCGGTTGCTTTCCCGGCCCTCGGCGGGGTGAGGGCTTGGGGGACCGGCCCCCCCGCCTCCCGAGCGGCGGAGCGGCCCGGGGGTCTGCCGGGGGCGGGGGCGGCGGCGGCCCCTCCCCGGGGCGGTGCCGGCGGCGGCGGCGGCGGCGTGGGGCCATGGTGAAGATCGGCGTCCAGCAGCCGCCGGCGGCACTCAAGCCGGAGAAGGAGAAGGAGAAGGCGGCGGGGGGCGATGGGGCGGCGGGGGCCGTGCTGCTGCCCCCGGGCGCCGTGAGTGCGGGGCGGGGGCGGGCGGGCGGGCGGGGCGGCCCCCGGCGGGGCCGAGCCCTCACAGCGCCGGGGTTTGGCCCTTTCCTGCTAAGTTAGAGCGGAAAGGGGCGTGCGTGGGGCCGGGGGTCAGCTCGGAGCTCGCTCCTGGTCCGAGAGGCCATCCCTGGGAACGGGGAAAGCGGCCGCGTTTCTGGCCGTTGGCTCCCGGCCCGGGGGGTGCGTTGGCACCCGAAGTTGGGAGAAGTAGGGAGGGGATGGGGCAGGGCAGTTGTGCCGTTACAGGGAGAGGCCATCCTTCGGCGCTGAAGTAACCGGTCAGCGCGGACAAGTGGCATCGGGACTCATCCCTTCGGTCTCGGTGGTTTTGGCTGGGGGGATGTAATTTGGGATTGGTCGTTCATGGGTGGATTTTAAATTCTAATATCTCTGAAAGCTTAGGGTTGGCATGGAGAAGAGGCAAGAGGAACAAAACAGCTGGTGCTGGAGCAAGATGAGAAGCAAGGGGATAAGAGCGCACACGGCTCCCTAGATGGTTTGCAGTTTTCAAGATGGGAGTTGGCATGCTGAAGTTGAATTGCTCTGCTGGCTTCAGGTGATGGGTATCAGAGGGGAATGTGTGCTCGTGCCTGCAGAGGTTGGGATCCTGCCAGGCGCCAGGTGAATAAAGGTGTTGGGGCATCCCTGGCAGATGCAGAGCGTGGCCGGGGCCTGGGGTGGATCCCGTCCCCACTGCGAGTCACGGGCAGGCGCTGGCAGGCAGCGCTGGGCACGTACCAGTGGTGGTAGTGCTGGTGCCCCTCTTGAGGAGGGGAAGGTGAAATGGGCACTGTTGGTTTTGGCCAGGAGTTGTGTGGGTTTGAAGTCTCTTGTGCTGGAGAACGCTCAGCTTGCAAGCTCTTCTGCAAGGGTGGCCCCGCCGGGGTAAATATCACGGTGCCTAGTGGGAGGGTGTTCAGAGAGGTGAGCCTCACCCGCAGCATCCAGTCTGCCTTGATACAGTGCTTCTGTGCCAGAGCAGGAGACTTAAATGGCATTTCTGTGTTTCTCATAAGTGTCTCCCTCAGACTGAACATGCAGTTCGATCATTTAGCAAATCCTAATATCTCCCTGACTCAAAAAACTATGGAGGAGCTGTGATTTTGCCCTGCTCCTGAGGCAATGCAGAGCGTACCTCCTCATGTGCCTTACCAAGCGAGTGGGAATTACCTGCCCTGGAGAGTTGCTTTGCAGTACGAGCTTCAGGAGATTGCTCAGTTCTGCAGAGAGTTCAGGGAGTCACTTATATCGTAATGATCGCTCACATCACGCACGGATGTGCTTGCAGCTCTCAGCTGTGCTGTCAGCATCTGAATGGGCTTAGTCTGTCATGATTGCATCTATTAATCTAAGGCCTAGGAGCTGTATAGAAACCTTTAATGGGGGAATGCGGCCAACTGTGATCTCTTGCTGATTTCCAGACTTCATCTTTCCTAATTACAAACAAAATAAGGTGATAGGTTTCTTCCCACCTTTCATGTCCAACCCTGAAAGTTGACTATCACACTGGACTTCCAGCTTGTGCTGCTGTTAAACCAGCTTTCCGCAGCTGGGAAGTCAGTTCTGCTGGTCCTGCACGAGCTTGGTCAGGATCTGGCTCCTCCTCGCAAGCACTGTGAGAAAAGGAGTTTAAAAACTAGTAAAATAAAAAATAAAAGTAACAGAAGCTTATTTCCATCATTAGTGCTGCCAGATCCCAGCAATCAAAATTATTCTGATTCAGGTCCTGCCAGATGGATGAAATTGGCTTAGGTAGCAAATAATACATTTTGGGTTCTTTACATAGCCTTGAGCCTTTCTCTGATTCCTGGGGGGCATGATGTTGTTCTTTAAAGCCCACGTGAGCTACAAAGGAAATGAAAAACGTGAATTTAGAACAAAGAATCTTCAACAGTCTCTTAATTCCAGCAGACAGGCATATAAGAAAATCAGCATAGGACCTGTGACAGAAGGGCAGGAGCAGGTTGCGGTGAGTCAGTGCAGCACGAGGGTGCCCGGGGAACAGCACATACACTGACAAGAAGGTGGCTTTTTCCTGATGCTTGCTTTCCAGGGTATCTGTGACACAGGATTCTTTGGTGTAGTTTGTGCTTAGCTGGACCGAGGGGGTGTACTGCTTAGTAAAACACTCGTCTTGTGGGGTTGGTCTTTCCATAGCCAGGCTTTCTTGCCGTGCTCTTTCTCCTGCTGCCAATAATTCCTGTCCATGTGTGTCTTTCTGAGGCTGCTTTGTAGCAAAATGGCATTGGTGACATGCAAACGAAGATGCTCTGCATTTCTCTCCTCTTTGATCTCAAAACTTCAGTCCCAGTGATAGGAGCCAGAGCTGGGAAATGATTCAGCAGCAGCTTCCGCAGCCTGTGAATTTTGGCAGGTGCTTCGTGAATGCAAAGATGTGACAGGCAGGAAGATGTCTGTGATGCTAATGTGTCCTGAAAAGTAGTAGGTGAGGAGTCCTGACAGCAAGCTCGCATGTGCTGAGCCCTGTCTTCTCCCCTGTGCAGCTCAGTTTGAATTGGAAAGAATATGCAATTTGAAGTCGGTCAGAAAAATCCACATAATTTTGAGGCAATTGCAACATTTTAAGGGCTTATAAAAGAAATTATCTTGTTGTCATTAGTAAGAGCTGGGAGGATGTAGCAGCCATGAACAGAAGGCAGTTTCAGGTCATGCAGTCAGTAAAATAATCTGTTGTGTTAGTTGGAAAGTATCTTTTCAGGTGCAAAATAGTATTCAGTGAGTTTTAATTGAACTCCAGATTTATAGTCTGAAACGGAAATAAATCTATACGCTGTGTCTAGGACATGTGTCTGTTTGGGAAATAAGCTTCTTGTGTTTGTGATGGACATTGAAATCCACAGGAACCGAGTAAAACTGGTGGCTGGAGCTCTCCAGTCAAAATTTGGTTTGGGGGTTTTTTTTGATTGATTCCTTGTAAACCCCTCTAATACTTGCAGTTAGATATTCTGCAGAGACAGTGCAAGAGCAGGAGAAGAAGGGGTTTCATTAAAATCTTCTGCTTCACGAGGTGTAAATGATAAATATTGGAGGGAAGAGACAGACGCTTCTTACCCCCCTTGCTCTGTACGTGGCGGCTGTAGCAGTACCAGGCTTTGGTTCCATGCCTTCCATCTCATCCGCATGCCCCAAGACTCGACAGTACTCTTCCTTTCTAGTGGGCTTTGGATCAGGCCCTTCCTGGTCATGTGGAAAAACTTCCCACAGGGAGCTGCTTGCTGCTCAGTGCTGGATCCGTCCAATCCGTCTGTCTGTCTGTCTGGTCTTTTTATAGGCTGCCCCTCAGCACGACCGCCCGGTGGGGTGCCTCAGCCTCCTGGCTGCAGGGCTGCTGCTCCCCGGGAGGCTGACGGCCGAGCTGCCCCAGCCTCCTCCTTGCTGCCAGCCAGGGGCAGCTCCCACACCGAGCATGTTTGCCCCATTTGTACAGAAATAGCAGGGGAAAGCCCTGAAACCTTGGGGAGCGTGTTCCCTGAGGGCGTGGCTGCCTCTCTAGTGCCTGGGAAGCTCTTTCCTGTGACTGCCACTGCCAAACTCTCCAGGGAGGAGCAGGTCCACTGTGGATGTGGAGCTCTTAGCCGACAGGTAGTGTCTCGCTGCTGGAGCTGGTGCTGTCTTTTGCTGTCTTTTTCTTGCACTCAGGGTGGGCAGGGTGAGCTGTGACTGCTTGGCATCTGCCCGAGCAAGCCCAAGAGGACGTGTGCTTCACGGGAGGTGGCATCAGATCAGAGCAGGACAGGCAGCAATGCTGTTTCTGGCCTTCCTAGGGGTACCAGTGCACCACAAGGTGTGATGCTCCAGAGCTGGGCTCGGGCACATGGAGCAGTTGGAGGAGCAGAGGCTCTTGCTGGCCATGCAGGCATCTCCGCCGGCCCTGTAAAGCGGAGTCATGCCAGCTTGGTGGAAGCTGCTGAGCCAATGCAGTGCTGAGTGTTGTGAGCGACTTCCTTGCAGCATGCTGTGAGGTGGCAGACAGATGGCAAGGGAAGGGGATGTGAGGAGAAGTCTTCTAAACAGACTTTTTCACAAAGCAAGCTGTAAATCCAGAGAGAGGGAGAAAAACTAGCTGGCAGTGATGTGGCTTGATTACACTCATTGACATGTTGCCAGTCTTGAGTCCAGGCTTGATGCTTCTGAGTTGTGGGTATTTTCACCATTTTGAAGTCTTGATTTAGGGGTCAAAACGTGAGAGATAGTAGTTTGAAGAAGCTGCTTCCTGTAACAGAAGGTTATTCCTGGCCTTTGCCCAACCCTCCAATATCTGTGTGGGCTGCAGTGATGACTTCTCTTTGTGTCCTGTATGGAGTCATCAGCTTAAAAAGAAGCGTTGCCACTGGTTCTTGGTTCTCCGTGGTTTGGGGATACCTTGGAAGTGCAGGAAAAGGGCTGAATTAGAAAAAAATGTCTCTGAACCCTTACCACTCTAGTGAAATAATAGACTTGGATATCTTACTGGACTCCAGACATGAATATTTGATATTCCAGCTGAGCATGACAAAGGATCTGGCTAAAACTGGCAGGGGGATTAGGAGAGGAAATGACTATTTCTGGCAGAAATGTTATAGATGTGACTGAATTTGGAAAAATGGACCTCTCTCGCCAAAGAGATGTAGACTGAAGAGCTGGAGATGGAGAAACATGAAACATCTGTCTAGAGGTGTGCATTCCCCCACAGCTGGAGGAGAGCCGAAGCCAATGCAACTTTGCATGTAGGTGCTCCTTACATGGGAAGAACCTGTTGCATTTACCCTCTTTAGGCACAGCAATTTCTTCGGCAAAACACAGGAAACCAAGAAATATCTTTAAAAAGAAGCAGTTTTAAAGGGTACAGATGAACCAAATTCAAGCATGAGGTGGAAACTTCGCTACATACGTTGCACGTATTAATACTGCAGCGCTGTAGGTCTGGTCCGTAGGACAGGAGCCCTGCGTGCTCTGCTGTGCTG